GACCCCCGCCTGCGGGCACCTCCCCTTCCCTCAGCCTCCCCGAGCGCCACTTTGGTCCCAAACCCTTCATCACTGCCCTCCTCGAGGGGGTTTGGCCGACACCTTGGCTCCTCAGGGGGCTCCGCGTGGGTGCCGAGGACCATCGGAAGCAGGGGACGAGGTTGGGCAGCGATGCTGAGTCTGAGGCGAGAGCCCGGAGTAACGGCCAGGGCCTGGGGCAGCTGTGGTGGCACGGCTGGGTGCTTCAGGTGATGGTGCCAGGCTGAGAGGAGCAGAGACCCGGCTGGGACATAGTTTATCCCTCCCGAAAGGGCAAAGACGTGCAGCCTAGGATCGCCGAGGGTATCTCCTGAGACCACGTGCCATATCATTTCGTTAGTAAGCAGTCGCCGCGTTCAGGCTCATCGCCTGAGGAGGTGCAGGGCTTGTCCCAGGGGTGGGAGGCGTGCAGGCCGCTCGGCGCTCTACAGGCACACGGCTCTGCCCCGTCCGACAGGAGTGCCGCATGGTTTAACTGCCATGTACTAAAACCAAGAAATGCAATTATGTTTTGTACAGTACCAGTGTGTCACAAACTGTGCTAAAATAAGAACTCGAAAATGAGGGACCAGTGCCTGTGTTCCCTTCAATGCCTCCACTGAGGCACTTCTTTTACGCAAAACATGGGTAAACTTACTCCCTCAGAAAATCATAGAATCATAGAATTGTTTAGGTTGTAAAAGCCGTTTAAGCTCACCAAGTCCAACCATTACCCTAACCTTGCCATCCCACCACTGTCCCTGAGCACTGCGTCTGCCCGGCTTTTAAATCCCTCCAAGGATGGGCACTTGACCCCTCCGCTGGGCAGCCCCTTCCGGTGTTTGACAACCCTTTAACTGAAAAAATTTTTCCTAATGTCCAACTTAAACCTGCCCTGGCGCAACTTCAGGCCATTTCCCCTCATCCCATTGCCTGTTATTAGGGAGCAGAGCCCGACACCCCCGGCTCTCCCCTCCTTTCAGGCAGTTGTAGAGGGCGACAAGGTCTCCCCTCAGCCTCCTCCAGACTAAACACTACCAGTTCCCTCAGCCACTCCTCATAAGACTTGTGCTCCAGACCCCTCCCCAGCTTTGTTGCTCTCCTCTGGACATGCTCCAGCAACGCAATGTCTTTCTTGTAGTGAGGGGCCCACTTCTACTAAAATTCAGTGTCATTATCCTGTCCTTCTAGTGCAAGTCTTTCTCTAAGAAGGCTGAATTTGTGGGCACCATTAATGAGTGATTCAGCTACAGTCCTTTCCTGCACAAACCATGTGTCTTTTGAAGTTAGTCAAGAACAGTCTGTTGTCTAACCCAAAACTTGTCGTTACAAGAAGTTGTTTAATATGTTGAGAAATTGTTTCTCTTAAATCTGTTTTCTGTTGTGGCGCTTGGCCGGTTGCCTTCATGTAGCTGAAGTTAACTAGTTAACCCAGTAACTCTGTAATTAGGTTTAGTTATCTGATTGATGTTCCCTGCCGTTATGCCTATAACATCCTTTTCCCGCTCCGAAAGCCTGAGATGTAATCCTACCAGCATAGCAGGGCAAGGAATTTACGCCCACTCAGATTCCTCTTTGTTCATAACAGTTCTCTCTAGATTCTGGGAAATGTTTTAATTTGTACTGACTGCCACTATTCTACTTAGCCAAATGGCCGTATAACCAGAAAAGCTTTATTTGGACTTTTAAAGGTATTCGGAGTTTATTGATAAAGTGAAAGCATTAAAGTGAAAGTCCATAATTTAATGTCTAAATCAGCCGAGGCAGGTGTCTCGCCTGCTTTCTGCAGAAACGATAATCTTAACAAGATGGACACAGAAGAGGAAAGTAGTATGTTTTTAAATTTTTCTATTATTGTTTATGTTCTTGTTACTTCTTCTCCTATGGAAGCTCCAGCAGTGCATCGTTAGAAGGAATATAAATGAATAAAAGGCAAAAAAAAGAATGCCGTGAGGCGTGCTGAAGACCGGAGCCCAGAGGACAGAGGCTGCAAGTGCAAACCATTCAATATTTTCAGAAAATCAGGAATGCAGCCTGCCAGATATGAAGGGAAGTTGGGCCTTAGGGAGGTTATGCAAGGTCAGTCACTCCCCACCATGAACACTTTTCCTGGATTGCATTCCTTCACGTTACAAACTCCAGTTATGCAACTCAAAGCCCAGTCGTTTATCTTGTTTCACGCAATATTGCCATGGAAATTAATGAGAACTATTGGTAGTCAGTCCTTTATTGTTAATAATAACTAACTGAAAGTGCAATTGCCTGGGAGCAGTGCGGGGCTGATGTATACAAGGAAAGATTCACAACACCTCCGGGCCTTGCTGTAATTCAGTGCAAACCCCTGGAATTTCGGCAGGCAGGGACCTGCTCTGGTTTCTTTTATTTGCATCCCAGGGAGTGAATAGAACTGAAGTGGTCCCGGCTTCTCACTGTCCAGCAGGTCTCATCTTCACAGCTTTTGTACTAAAGGGGGGATGTTGCTAGGAGGTCTCAACGGGAGAGCACAGGCGTTCATTCGAGGTCTTGCGGCTAAGCTGTACATTTATTAAAGTTCACCCAAGCTCAGTCCTCCAGACACATACCTGAACGTGCTCACCTGTAACAGCTGTACGAATTTTTGTAAGCTCCCTGTACATCCCGTACTGGGGAAAGGGTACACAGGAGGAGAAACATCTCCACGTATCTCTGGAGACCTGAAAGCCCTCTGTAAAGGTGGGGAAGATACTGATAATCCCAATAGGCAGATACAAATACCGAGGCTCACAAAATGCTGTAGGAAAAGTCATGCCATGAGTCAGTATGAGAAAGCGAACCAGAGCTCTTCACTCCCAGGGCGATCCCCTTGTTCCCCATCACTGCCGCCTTTCGCTCTCTGGTAGTTTTCCACCACTGGCAGGATTGGGAACATGGTAAAACATCCCCAACGCATCCATCTTCAGAGAAGTGGTGCTACTGTATAAAACATATAAAGCATTTAACTCTTGTGCTGAGATTTTTATTCAGGATTAAACTGGCTGTAGTTTACTGTGAAGTTCTATTAACTTTATGCCATTATTTGATTTATCTGAACTTTCCCAT